TAAACAAAGGCTGATGAAATGATTACAGAGAAACCAGAAAGTTTGGCAAGTCCAGGGTGTACCTGGTGTGGTCAAGGAGCAGCAGGGAAATTCCCAAATATGCAAGCATAGAGGCAGTGCCTCAGCTCTAGCTCTGGTCCTGAAGGAGATGACTCTCACTGTGTTACTGTTGCTAGGAACCTGCAATTGTCCAGGGACCCACGGCCTATGCAGTGATGTTGACAACAGGCTCAAGGAGGTTAGGGTCCCAGAGGAAGGTCCCCAGAGAATAAACTGGCTCAGAGGCTGTCATCTGTGATGAAGACACTGCAGCCCCATCCAGGAAACCAGCTCCTCGGCCATGGCCAGCATGGCCAGCATCTGGGACCTGTCGTGAGCTGGCAACTCTTTCATTGAAGGTGCCTCCGGGGTGTTTCTGACCTCAGGAGTCTGAAGCCTTAGGAATAGTGGCTGGCGTGGTAGAGGAAGGGACCTGGCCTGGGTAAAGAACTAATGCTTTTTCTAGGACTGGACAAAGTCTTGAAAATTGACACCAGTCACGTGGCTTTGGGCTAAGCCTGTGTGCAGTGGCTAGCACCTGTGGCCATCTTGCCGCCATGGAGTATGTACTCTTTGTGCTGTATTTCTCCTTCTTCCTCTGTCTCTGTGCCCTGGTGTGCCTCTACTTCTCCGGCTGCCAAGAGATGACATACAAGCACCAAGGTAAGCAGCTGGCTCTGGAGGCCTCGTTTGAGGTCCTGGACAGTTCCCAGCTGTGTTCTGATGCTCGTGCATGTGACCGGTGATACTGTTTGAAATGATACAGAGATGAGAAGAGAAAAGGCTGAGAAGGGCTGCATCCAGTGGGAGGGACATTTAGGGGCATCTCCTGCTTTCCTGTCTGTCCCATTTGACCTGCTAAGAAAGAAAGAGTACCTCCCTAGATTCAAGTGTGCGTGAGAAGAAGTGTTGGCTTATCGTTCATTTTTGCCAAAACTGGATTTTAAGCTCTGGATTAGTTTATAGAAAGGCATCAGCAAGGCAAGGCTTTGATTGTAAGGAAATTTGGAGGTCAAAGGGATGAGCCCTTTTTACATAGCAGTCTTATTAGAATGAGCTAAGGGTACAAACTATGCTCCTGAGAATCTTTTGTTAGGAAATGCCCAGGGCATCTTAGAGTAATTGAGACCTGACAGTTTCTTTCTTTCTTTCTTTTTTTTTTTTTGGACAAAGTATCAATTTTATGAGGAAACAAAAGCATTATCTACAAATCGATTATGAGATAAGTGTACTCATTACCACCACTCCTAGTAAAGTTGAAGATCTTAGCTAGTACAATTATGATAACTCAAAAATCCCAATAGTTTGTAAAAAAAAAAATACAAATTTCATTACTTCTGAGTTACCAAAAACAATAGAAAAATTCAGCAATATAGCTAACTTCAAAATAACTATACAAAAATCAGTTATATTCCTATATAAAAAAGAATTCCAAAATAATATTAGAAAAAGAAAGATAGCATTGTATCAGCAACTAAAATAGAAAGTACCTATCAATATAGCTTTAACAAGAGCTGTGCAATTTTTTTTAATACATAATCATTTACTACTTGTTTGTTACAGAATACACAAGACAAAATACAAATAGCAAACAAATTGCTTTTCCTTATTATGTTTTTACCAAAGTCTAAAAAAAAAATAGACGACTAATATATATAAATAAATAAATAATTTCTAAAAAAAAAAGTGTCAAGTGTGAAAGAAACTGTCAGGTCTTTTTTTTTTTTTTTTTTTTTTGAGACCTCACAGTTTCTTTCACACTTGACATTGTTTTTAAAGGCTCTATGTGCCAAGCATGAGCAGAAATGGCATTTCTAGGGGATTCTCTTCTCAGCCCATGGTAAGCAGGTGTTTAATTATTTCCCATATGTTTGGAAAACATGGTGTAAAACAAATTGCATTGTCTTCAAAGAAGAGTGTCACCTGTTTCCACTTTAAATATGAAAGTGGCTTTCCCTGCTTTTTATTGACAGAGGTGTCTGTATAGGCTCTGTATATGTAGAACATGATCACGTAAACTAACCCTTAAAGCAGCAGACTAACCCAGCTATAGTCATAAAAGCCAGGGGAGGGGATGTGGATCTGGGAGGCTCCTTGCTGCTGTGGAAACCGCATCTACCAGTGGATGGTCAAGTGTAGGAATGTATCCTAAATCTTTTAGAAAGTACATGACCTAGCACCTCCCAGTAGTCACAGCAGCAAACACAGACCTGTCCCCAGAGACCTTGCAATTAGCAGTGTTTACAAGAAATAAGGTCAGCTGAGCAGCTGCCCAGAAAAATGTGGAACCTGGACTTGGGGGTGAACCAAGTTTGTGCAGAAAGAGCTTCAAATGCTCTTTCAATGTTGCCAGGGTGTCATAACTATGGGGACTCTGTTGCCATCAGATGTCACTCACTATCTCTGCTTTCTGGAGACTATTGGGAGAGTTTGTGATACCTGAAGTCAAGTATCTGGAGGGGAGATTTACACATATAATTGTCTCCAACCTCTGCCAGGAGAGAAGTGCCATTGGCAAAGGATTCCTCATTTCTGCCTGTTAGACTCCCCTGGGGAGTGTGGCCGGGCAACGCTCAGCTGATGTGGGAATGAATGGAAAGGATGTTGTGTGCAAACCTGAAATAGTGGGTGAATTACCCGGTTGGCCTCAGGTTCATTAACAGAGACATGTTTGTGAGCACTCACGTAATGGCCAACGTTTCTGTTCTGGGTCCTGGGCACCCATGGGACCAAATGGGGTCAAACCCCTGCCTTCATGGAGCCTCCATTCTGGGGGGAGGATGGGACCAGCAGTAAACATACGGCAGCGTGCGCCTTCTGTGAGGTGGTGATGATGCTGTGGGGAGACCACAGGGAGGAGACTGAAGGGTCTGGGGTGGGGCCAGGTGGGGCACAGGCACAGTGGTCACGGAGGCCCTTTATCACATGGTCATATTTGTGCCAAGGCCAGGAGGAAGTGAGGGAGAGGCTGTGCTGATGCTGGAGGAGCATCTGGTTAGCGCAAAGGGCCAGTCACAGGTGCATATAAGGCATAAGGAGGAGGGGAGAAGGGGAGGCCACAGTGATGGAGCAGGTCCTCGGGGCTAGGTGGGCCGTGAGGAACCTATGCAGGTGCTTTCATTTGGGCATGGAGAGCCCTTTGAGTGAGGAGCAACATGACATAATTTTTGTTATAGAATAGTTGCTATGGCTACCAGGTTACAGACCAGGGCAAGAGCAGGCAGAGGGACAGGGCAGGAGCAGATGGAACAGTGGGAGAGATTTAGTGAGAGGTGACAGTGGATCAAGATGGAGATGCCAATTGGTGGAGGGGGTGAGAGAGCTGGATTCTGGGCTGAAGGTGGAGCTGGGGGGGTTCCTGGGTTGGGGGGTGTAGATTTGGGAGAGTGAGAAGGGCAGGGAGGCCGCCTGGGTTTGGTACCTGAGCAACTGAAAGATTGGAACTATTGATCACAGACTGTATTGTGGAAGGCACAGGTTTTGGGGGTGTTTGGCTTGCCCATAGGACCCCAAGGGACCATTGGGAACCCAGCCAATATAGAATCTGCAATTCAGGGGAGAGGTCTCTGCCCTGTACAAACGAGAATGGAATGTAAGGGGAAAACAGTGCCCAGAAAGATGCCAAATGCAAGAACATTCTGGGTGACACACAATGGTGGGTGCCTCCCCCACAGCGTCTTTAGGTACTCTGTCAGGTGACAGATGTCTCTCCCGTCTCCTTCCCTCCTGATGTCTGAGTGATTTCCCACTCATGTTATTAGTTGTGGTACCAGTCAGGGTTTGCTCACATTTGTAGAGACGAGCTAGCGGGCACACATGGGCTTAAACACCCAGGGTGTGGGTTGCCCTCAGCATGTGGGGTACCCCCTGCTTCCTTGAGTGGTTGGAGAGGGTAGAGAAGCTACATTCTGGGTGAGCCAGTGAGAGCCTGGGGCTGGGTTTTTAGAATTTGGCTATGATGCCTCCTTTGTGGTTGGAAAAGCATTCATTGATTCTAAGAACAAATAAAAATTTTTCTTAAGAGCTATTGGGGGGGGTATAAACCAATGTTCCTAAAACAAGGAACATTGATCTGGTGATTGTCAGTTGATGTCTGTAGCCTCCAAGAGATGTAAGCTCTTTGGGCAGGGACCATGCTTGGTTTTAATCCTTTTGCCTCCTCTAGGCCGAACCCAGTGTCTGACTTCGAGAAGGTGCTCAGCCAGTGTTTGCTAACTAAATGGATGAATGAATGAATGACACTCCATATTTTTTGATATTTGGAGTGGGAGAAGTGGTAGGAAGGGTAGACTGGCACACATTAAAATTACCTCTGAATCTGAGTGGGTGTCCGTAAAGATCTCTTATGCTGTGCCTATTAATTTTATAAATGTCCCCAGTTTTCTGCCATCAGTAGTTAAATAAAAGTTGCCTTTTAGAGTAGGTCTGATGAGGACCTGGCCATGCACTTGCCCTCCTAGTCAGAGACCTGGGGCCAGTGCATGGCCTCTACTTCTTGAAGCTTTTGCCTGTTTCTGGTGTCCAGATTCATCCAGATTCTTCTCTTGGAACTAAACATCTGCCTTGCCCCACCCCCTTCTCCTTAGTACAGTAAGCATGCTCCTTCTTGAGTGTGGCCGAGTGCCAGGCCCCTCACTGGGCAGTGCTCACAGGTAAGGTAGGGGAGTGTATGTGTCCATTTACTGGAGAAGGGAATCAATGATTTCCTGGCACTCAAAGGAGCTAAGTGATTTGTGTGGGTCAGCAGCCTGAGAGCCTGCACCCAGAGTCCCGACTAGCTCGCTCCCCCCCCGTAAGACTGGCGCTCAGCCACCATCGCCTGTCCTACCCAGTTACACAGCACCCAGCCATGTCGTGGTATTCCAGTTGTGGTCCCCTGCACTGGTGTGCTGATGACAAGGCTGGGGGACTCTGGTGTTCCTCACTGTGTTGCTAATGTCATGAAAATTTATATTTTACAGAAGCATGTTGTGGAGACATTTTTTGGATTTGATGAGGAGTCTGTGGACTCAGAAACATTGTCAGAAACATCCTACAACACAGACAGGACAGACAGAACCCCAGCCACTCCTGAAGAAGACTTGGACGATGTAAGCAAAGCAGTGGGGTGCAGGAGCTCCCCACCTGTGGTTTCAGCCCCAGGCTACCCATTCCCACCAGTGGATTAGCCACATGATAGTCTCAGGAAGGGAGTCCTCCCCTCCTGTGGGCTCAGAGATGGCAGTAGGGACAGCCTGTGGGGCCCTTTCTTTCCCTAGCACTGATGTCCTGGCCAAGGATGTCTGTGCCTGCCCAGGTCAAGCTGAGCCACTGACATGTGATGCCTGGTGTTACTTGGTGTTACATTTGCAGTTAGAACTGCTGTGTGGGGGGCTTGCCTGTGTCCATTTGTGTGTACTACTCTCTTTGACAATAGAGATAAAGCATCATTATAGGAGAAAATCCAAGTAGTCCTGAAACGTGTAAAGGTGAAGGTGAAACGCATGTGAAGTCTGATCCCCCAAGGTTACTGCCTCCCCTTTCCTGGGTGTCTGTGGCCTTCCAGGTACATGAGCACCTCCAGTGGAGCAGCCGGTGGCCTAGTGTGAAGAGCCCCTCTTCCTCTCTCACCCCTCCCCAGGCTCATTCCCCTCAGAAGCCAAATAAAACCTCAGGCAGACTGTGGGTTTCTAGACCTTCCAGTGACAGGAAAGTCACATTTCATTGATTTTCTGAACTCTAGGCTTCGTTCCATACAAACCTTCTCCTTCCTCCCTGCTGCTGGGGTCTGCATCAAGCTCAGCTGCTGTTTCCCTCCCTGTTCCTCTAGCCCAGGCATCCTCAAACTACAGCCCATGGGCCACATGTGGCCCACCTAGGAGATTTATCCGGCCTACCGAGTGTTTTTGCCGCCGCTACCTGTCCTGCTTAGCAGCTGACTCGTCCCGGGGCCCACAGTCTGGCCCTCCAACAGTCTGAGGGACAGTGAACTGGCCCCCTGTTTAAAAAGTTTGAGGACCCCTGCCTAGCCCTCCCTGCTGCAAGCCTCTGTTGGCTTTTGTTCAGGGCCTAGAGAGGAGCCTGGGTAGAAAGGGTGTAGGGTGGGTTTGCTGGGGGCAGCTGGACCTTGGGGTGATGCCCTCTGGCTGGGATGGGGGATGGTGCTCTTCTCTGGGTTTCCACAGGCTCCCCTTGTGGGACCACTTTCTGTAGCTTCCTGGAGGAGCATGGGCATTGCCTTCCCTGGCACTCCCACATATCCCAAGACTCTGGGTGCTTAGCCTCCCATAGACCCCTGGCTGGGTCCTCCCCCCTTTGCTGGTAGTCTTCTCTGTGGAGCCTTCTAGAAGGCCTTCCAGGTTGGTTTCCTCTCCTGGGTTCATTATGCATGTGCTGTGGGCATGGGCACATCTGACCCCAAGCCAGTCTTCCTCTTTGTTCTGCTACCTTGTGTCACGACTCCAAGGGATGCAAGTCACCTCTCTTAAGAAGTGGCCCTGACATCCCTTCTCATGCTTGGAGATAAACACACTGCCCCCACCCCCATCAGCCCACCAGCCTTAGCCACATGCTGGCTGGAGGGGCCTCGCCCATGCTGGAGACAAAAAACAGCCCAGTGACATCTGAGGCGGGCCTGGACTGGCCCCCAGCAGCCAGGGTGTCGTTCTCAGCCACAGCACCAAGTCTCATTCTCACATCCTATTACAGTGACCAGCCAGACGCAGGTTTTACATCTGCATTTTTCCAGCTGCTGGTACATGGAAGACATCTTTCTGCTTCGGAATCTGTGGTTTTTCACGTGGCTGCACATTAGCCCTTTAACAGTTCCTTCTGGAGCACCTACGTTTGGGTCTTCACGCCTGTGAGCGGGGTGCCCCTGCCCTTTCTGTATCTGCGTCTTCCTGTGCTTCTGTGTCTGCTTCCATAGAATGGACTCCCAGGACAAGGGGTGCTGGGCGGAGGGGCTGCCCATCATAGTGGAGCCTTCACTTCTGGAGCTGGGCTGTGCAGCTCTGCTACCTGCTGCACAAGACCCAGTGATTCCTGAGAAGAGTGGCGTCTCCTCCCAGCAGCCCTTCACTCCAGAGTCCTCATTTTTTCCTGGCAGCAAAAGGCCCCTTAAGCATTCACTGGCAGCATTCACGAGGGGTGGGCATCTGATTTGGCCATGTCCACTCTGCACACAAAGACCCAGGAAGTCACACACTTGATTATTTGTTTTCTTCTCTGTTATGTTAAGACCACAGCCCGGGAAGAGGCTGACCTGCGCTTCTGCCAGCTGACCAGGGAGTACCAGGCCCTGCAGCGAGCCTACGCCCTGCTCCAGGAGCAGGTGGGGGGCACACTGGATGCTGAGAGGGAGGCCCGGGTAAGTGCTGCAGCCTCGGGGTGGGCAGGGCTGGAGGAAAGTGAGGTGGTGTCGACCCTTCCAGAGGTGGAATTCTGTCACAGCCCCTGCCTTTGACACTGGACTCACCAGAGTCTCCACTGTGGTGGTGTTCCAGAACTCTCTCTCCATTCTCGGTGTGACCACAGAAGCTCTGGGGCATCCGGCTGCCAGAAGAAATGATGGTGCTGTCTGACTAGCCCCTGCTGTCTGTGCCATCTACTCACAAGAAAGCATGCTTCCAGGACCCACAGCTGGGTGTGAGGCCACAGGCTCGGCCACCTGGCAGGCATTAGACTCACCTCCCTGCAGGGCTGAGACTCCCCAGCCCAGACATCGCTGTGGAACATCTGGGGACTCTCATGGAGCTCTCAGCCTGAAAGGCAAGCCCCCTAAGTCTAGGCCTCACTAACCCTCGTGCTAGGCTGAGCTCTGGCTCCTGGAAACTTCCACCCACTGGCCCTTTCCCCTTTGGGAGTCATGTGGACTAGGACCGCCTGGCCCTTCCTCTTGGGAGCACACCCATGTACCAGTGCTTTCCTGTGTCCCATCCATGTCTCATTTCCCCAGTGGCCCCCGTAGGCAGAAGAGATTAACCCCATCTTCTGAATGAGGAAACTAAGACTTGGAAAAAACTAAGAAACTTGCCCCAGAACACCCAGACAGTACCTAACAGAGCTGGGAGTTAGAGCCGGTTTCTCTGACTTCAAGTCTGTGCTTTCTCAGAGCACCGTTTGGGAACTGTGCAAGGGGTAGATTTGTTGGCCTTAAAGGAGACGTTCCAGAATTGGGCGTGGTGCTGCAAACCTCTCTCCCAGGCAGATGCAGAGAGGAGAGGCCACTCCTGTGCAGAGTTTACAGGGGATGGTAGCAGCCCTGTGTGTGTGGTGGGAGTAGGAGAAATGGGTGAGGCTACTCGAGAAAGAAGCTTCTGTGCCAGGAGGAAAGGGTCGGCTTTTATCCTCTAGGAGGGAAAGGAGGGAAACCATCAGGCTTTGTTTGGGCTGAATTGTCTTTGATATTTTAAATTGTTCTACTTGCTAACATTTAAAAGTCAAGAGTAATCACAGAGAAACCCAGATTCCGGACTTCACTTGAAATGTGGCCCCACCAGCTCCCTCTCCCCAGTGGCAGCTTGGGGCTGCTGCGGAGTGGCGAGTGGCGGTGTTCCCAAGGTGGCCACGTGCCTGCAGGGGCAGCTCCACTGCTCCCTGTGGTCCCACAACCCACTTGTTTTCCTTATTCAAGTGACTTCCAGGTGCAGTCTTTCAGTTTTCAGCTCTGCTGTTGGTGATGCAAGCCCCTCCCAGAGGCCTGAGTGGGTGTGTACGGTGCAGGCCCCTCCCCCGTGCTGAGAGGCTGAGGGGG